GCGGAAAAATAAGGGAGGTCCAACGGTAAAAATGTAAGTGTTTGCTTCACGTAGACGCAGATGCCCCCACCACGGCTATCTTGGTGATCATTTCGGATGCAATTATAGCCTAGAAGAGAGAGTTCGGTGCCAGCTACTGAGGTTGATGCCCACATCTCAGTTACTAAAACGATATCAGGACAATGGACGGACACCTGAGTCTGAAGCAAAGGCATCTTATTAAGCAAGGATCTGGCATTTAAAACAAAAAGTTTGAAGGGAAAGGCTGTTAGTTTCTGAGGGAGGTGGGCTACATCGTCCAGTTCTGGGCCGCCCACGGAGCAAATGGTCCGGATACAACCATCCGGTTCTGCAAAAAATTTTGTGGCATCGAAAAATTCTGACGTGGATAAAAAGGTGTAGGACTTGGGGGAGGGAATTACGGGCAGGTTAACTGGTAACCATTGTTAGTTAACTTATTTTCAGCTGGAAATCCGCGGGGCAGATACTGCAACGTATTCCCGCCGGAACGAAACTGAGGATCGGATGAATTAACCGATTCAGTATGGACATTATCATGAGGAATAAATTGGTAAAACGGCCGTTGGGGAAACAGGTTAGGGGGTAGGGGACGCATTGTTTCCATTGGAGCAAGAGTTTTATGTAACGGCGGAAAAATCGGCATATTCGGCCTAAATGCCTCGATATGAGGGCTGGGGGCAGTTGAGAACACGGTACGTTTTGAGTCGGGGTATTTGAGGCACCGTTCGCCGATTGTGTAGGAAAACATTTTATAATGGTGCTGGATCTATTGAGTGTCCGAGTGGCTGAGATAGCAATTGGATTTGCCTTTGACTTAGACACATGCTTAGGCTTACTAGAGGTTGCTGGGGGAGTCGATAGAGGCGTGTTCATACCATGCGTGATGGTGTGTTTAAAGAGCTCAGCATTAAAAGTAGTCGAATTCCCTACGGAATTGACTATTCCGTGATGTGTAGATGGCGCAGATGGTGTTGTGGAGGACTTATTCAGACTGACAGTAGGTGTCATTATCTTGGTGTTGGTGTTTGCCGATTTTAATTTATTCAGTCTTCGCTGCAGGGGTGTGAGGTCTGGCGAAACGGAGGAGCGCCATGTACGGCAGAAGTCTCTAGTTATCTCCCAACTCGACAAGATAAAATCGACTTCTATCATGGAGAAAAGGGTAACTAGTATCGGCGCATTACGGCTAAGCGAGCGAAGTCGCTTAGCCTGTGCGACACTGAAACTCAAGCCACTACTTTGTAGGAACACATGCGCTCCCCCCATAGCATATAAGTGGTTCGGAATGTTTCTCGGTACGAAATTATGCTTACGTTTATTTCTTTCCTCAGTTTCCGAACTTATTATCCCAATAAGTTTAAAAGCTTGTTCAATTACTTTTCCAGAATTACTGTTTATGTCGCCATATATCAACTGATCAAGTATTTCGCCGGCTGATGGCCTGCTACGACTAGCAGAGGCGTATTTTGGACGACTGAAGGGTCAAGAGGTGCTACATGTACTAAAGGGATTTGTGAGTTAATCAGATTTGTAGACGACGAAGAACATAAGCTGGCACCTGCTATATCTTCAGTCACGATTTTAGCACCCAGAGACGGTGAGGAGGTCGCAAGCTTTCGCCGTTTAGCACGTGCTCTGCGGAGCATTACAGACAGGAAAAGTTTTTCGTTACAGAAGAAGAGTCAACACGTTGTCAACGTACGGAAAGTCGTACTAAATAGCAAGTACTACTGTTATTAAACTACAAAAAATAGAAAGTGGTAGTAGGGAAAGGAGTCACTACAAAGGTTTTTTAAAAAATACGACTATTTTGTCTGACTGTCAAATAAAACTGGGAAAAATTATATCTTGTATTGAAAGGTGACTTTTAAAAGGGACTCAAGTAAAAAACGCATTAATTGCTTAAGAATATCCAGATACATGCAAAGCTTCACTTATTTTTGAAATTGAGCTGCGCGCCTTGACAGCCAGGCAATGCCATTACACTATCATAAATATTGTCAGTATCGGTTACTGTTATCACACCCGAAGAGAGCTCGGTAGGATGTGTTTTAGATAATCAAGTTCGAATAACGGGAACTTTTGAAACAGTTCCTCATTGCACAGTGGATTTGTCTGAACTTCACTTCCTGATTCACTTCCTGCATTCAGGGAAGTATGGGTCCAACTTTAATATCGCTGTCAACGGCCGGTTACACTGCGGTACTAAGCTACCCGGGTAACTACCTCTTCTTTTTATACACCAAAGGATTTCACTGAAAAGACATATTTCTTTGAGAGACCTTCCCCTGGAGATAAACCGGCTGTCTTCTTCACCTCTCAATCTTGACACCAGTCCCTGGAGTCTTATCCATTCAGAGGAGATGGTCTCTCTGAAAAAGCCCACTTTTGATTGTTCCTGAATTTGTTCTTTCTGGATAAACTAAACTTGATTTGAAATCTGCCCTCTGCAATAACTTTAAGAGGTCGCGGTTGTAGCTCTCCTGTCTGTTCTTTCCCCCTTACCGAACCGTAATGCTTTAAGACTTTACCTTCTTCGTCTGGGTGCAGTAAATGAATAAATAGACCATCGAAAGAAATGCGGTCCACTAAGACACGATGACATTATCCAGGTTCTGGCGATCGTGACGTGGGTTGTAGCAGCAAGTGGGTTATGTTACTGAACAAAAGTATATACATGTTTGTAATAATTCATGCCTGTTCCATCTGGCCACCATATCGTCCTTGCTTCATTCACCAGAGCTTATAATTTACGTTTGAAAATAAAAAGCTAAAAGGCGCTCGCTCATATTCCATTACTATCGCACATCCTTCTGAAGGTGTACAGTGACGCATCTATGCTGCTGCTGGAGAAAATTAGCACAAGGAAAGAATTACAATTTTGTGCAGTATCCAAGTGAATCAAGATTAAAGGCTTATGGTCATCTGTCACAGGTCAGTCGACTTAGTACATAAATACTTGTCAGTTGTCCATAAGATAATCTCATATTGGATTTCTGAAAGGCCCTGTCTGGCCATCGCAAGGGCGATCCTTGTTACGGCTTTCGGATGCCATTATCATCTGATGCAATAGTACGAATAAGTTGCAAATCATTACTGTGCATAGCCTGACATCTAGTGAAAGCAGTGGTTTATTGGATACTGATTACATAAGCGACTTTTCCGTCTACAGGTCTCAATGCGTTTTGGGTTGATCTGGAGTGCTCAACTCATATGAAAATTCTTGCCTCATACAACCGACAATATGACTCTGATCCTGGTCCTGGTTCAAATATCATCCTATGAAGAAGGATTTTTGGTGACCTAGGGTAATCATCTATATACTGTTGAGAGCCACATAAACTTCCATGTGGCATTTGAGTGAGCTGGAGTTTATGCATTCAAAACAAACACCAAACGCCTGTGGTCCCACGTGGTGCCCATCTTTGCTGTTTTTTTCTCTTGCGAAATCTCTACGACGACTCCTTGTCGTGTGAGGTTCGTCGTTTTTAATCTGCAGCCCACGTATGCTTTATCAATTCACATAACGAATGGTCGATTTGCTACCGTTGTCATCTGCCATAAATATATAATAGTGTTGATTTGGAGAATGACAACTACGCCTCCGAGCTCTTTTTCCTATCATCTATTTATATATACCCCTAAAGATTTTGCGTGTTCATATTGGTTATTTGTGGGCTTTAATTCAATGCCATTGTGAACTCGAGTCCAGGAAGCATAGTGTGATGGGAGCATTAATATTGCAAGATTGCTACCTGCCCTCTCGCATGATGTAGATACTTTGAGGTGAGGCATGAGCAGGTAATGGTATGATTTCCTAAACCCTTGTGTTTCTGGAAACTATATACTAACCTTTAAAGTCAATGGCCATTTAAAAAGTGGTAATATTTCTCAAGTAGCCGTCCTTACGTAGGACAAGTGGTACCCTTTCAGTTTCACATTGTGGACCCCATAAAAATCAGCAAAACTTCATATGTGTGTTATGATCTCTCTTCCGTTCTTCCGCTTCTTGCCCTCTGTTATTCTCAAGACCTGGAGTTACAATCTATTTCAACAGTAGGTTCGATAGCTACTCCACTTTAATGTGAATTGCACGTCTTTCCACAGCTTCGTGTAATCTGTGAGTCACTGATACATAACGTTTCATAAGTGGCACCAGAATACTGGATTTTTGCACCTCCTATTGCTTTCTGTGACTTGCCAAATGTTTTCTCGCTAGTGTGAATAATATATTCCTCATGTTATTGTAAACTCCGCAAAATGGAAACTGGGTTTTGTCGTCAGGTAATTCACTTACTCCAGCGTGTCGAACGATCGCCCGTTCTTTATACATCAGCAGGTTTGGCATGCAGCGGCCTGCGGTGCTTATGAAACACCAAAATGTCTAATGACAAATTTTTGACGGACGGTATATCGCCACCGCACTTTTAACGGGGGCGTCATCCTAAAGTAAAGGTCTCTTAAGAGACCTTTGTGTAATTACACAATGCTCCTACCCCTCCTAAAGCTTTTGCGGATCCCCGTGCACTGTCGCATTTATGGGGCAGGTGTTCATGCGCGCTTCATGTCCATCTCATCTTTTTAGTATTCGATTTACAGACCTTACTCTTATCATCAGTTTCGGTAACTGGTCCATGGTGTTCCCTTCGGTTTATGCAAGCCGTTGCCCCCTGCAGCTACCCAGGGCAGACACGGCGTTTCCATAAGGAACCTGTGCTTCGCAGCCCGTTAAAATCCTGCTGTTAAATGACCAACAAATAAAATTTACTAGAAAACAGGCTGAAAGCTTTCGCCGCTATCAGAGACATGAGGCAGGTTGCAGCTGTTAAGTCGGCAGTTCTTTTTTACTTTACTGTTCGCTGTAATTTCTTTCTACGATCATTTTACGAACTTGCTGGTTATTATTAACTGTCAAATGTCAATTCTAGGGCACGCCATTGCATTTGTCCCACTGCCCGTTCATAGCCATTTAACCACTCATGGAGCAACGACCAAAGGCTTCGGACGCCCTTCCCGTGCGTCGCACCAAATTTTCGGACATTTCTCAGCTTCCAAAAGATTACAGGTTTGTGTTGTTTAGCTCTCCCGCCAGGCTTACCGTTACTTCGTAGGCTGTTCATATAAACCATACTTCTTATCATGGTCGGTGGTACTTATATCTGATACGACCGTGACCCTGCCTGACCTAGCTGACCTCGATGATGTCACAACTCCACTCTCGACAGTCTGTAGTAGCTGGTTTGGAGAGCACGTCCCGATTTCTTCCCCAACGACGTAAACTATAGACAGACACGCGGAAGGATTGATTATGCGGGTCATTTGTTCACAGGAGTCTTTATTGCATTAGCAATACCTGTTTGGTTTATGGACACTCCCTCAGGGTTGTGAAAACCGTATGAATTGCATCGATTCGGGGCACAATGTCGTCTTTACTGTCAATTCGGTATAAAATTCGTTCAGAAGTATTTAAAACTATCCGCTGCTTGAGGCTGACAATCATTAATCCCGGGGGATCTCTGCACTCAGAAATTCGGCTTGACAAAACGTTGGTTTCTTCAGGGTTTATGGATAAACAGACCGATTTCCGTCAACTACCATTTAGTTCTACTATACATCGAATAAACTCACACAGGAAGGACGCTTCGGCGAAGTCAACAAAGCGTGTAACTTTCGGCTGCTGATAACTGGTGGGATTCAGGAATATGTTGCAGTGGCGGTGCGGTCCATGTACAACTCGGGATGCAGCATAGCTGGGTCAAGTTCTAGATTCGTGGACACCCCGAAACAACTGGAGAACGACAATGGCAGGGACCTTTGCGGAAACGTAGCAGAAACCCGACATTTTTCGTGCTTTGTCCGGTGTTAACGAGCTCTGGTCATCAGGAACCAACTCGTTTCCTTATCTTTGCTCGCTCAGCTCGTGAGACCAGTGCACAAGGATATTGGCACAAGACTGATTGACCTCATCGAGGATGTCTTCCTCTCCTGGGTGCCTGGTCATTGCAAACCCATTATATTGTATCGATGATTACTTTTTTGGGAGGGGAAGGGGGTCACACGACATGACATGGGCTGGAGAGGGCTGCAACACAGCTGCTAAAGAGGAAGAAAAAGCGCCTGGTGGTTGGCCATCGAAATTGAGGCGCTGAAGATGACCGTGTTAGCATCCGACCTTGACCAAGTTGTTGGTGACAACTGCTACCCACATCGCGACCGGTCATTCGGCGAAGAGCAATTCGCCCGAGTTTTCAATTGTCGATTATTTGTGGCCAATTCACCTCTTGTGCACACTTCAGTAGTTTTTGTGTCAGCTCTAGTCAAAGTTGCCGTTGCTTCTGGAGTTTGCGGAATTACTAAATGTTGTGGTATCTTGATGAAAACGCCTGAACAGGCAACTCTAAAGCCTTCAAGCTGATTCAGTCATTGCATCAGTCTTCTCTTTTCACTCAGGATTTCAGCGGGAGACGGATTTCCATACCTAAGTCCTTAACTGTGTTGGATTGTCGTGATTATGCGAGATCAAGGCATCTTGCACGAAAAATATCAGGTGCAGATGAGAGGCGAACTTTACCACGTCCGTGAAAGAGAGTATGGTCTGACCTGTGGGCGCTGTCGACTTCAACACCGCGCATTGCTTTGCTACCGTAAACACAGACACCAGCACTTTACCTATAATGTGGTCAGTCTGTCTGGCCTTATGACCATCCTTTGAATGCCAAGTCAGCAGATGTTCACGGCGATGATGGAAACACGTGTTGGCGACAGTTAGCCGGTTATGATCAGCAGTACTCGGCATTCTCACATCGCGAACGATACCGAAGGCGACCAATAAGAGGATTGTTTTGGAAGGTGCCGGACTCAAACCGACCGTTTAAATTCCCGTCACCTATCAACAGACCACGTGAAGGATGTCATCCGACCAGTTCTTGCAGCTGTGAGGTAATTTCTTGATCACGCTGGCCGGCAACTGACGACCAAAGTAGTAGTGAAGTATCCCTTCAGCTGTAGGTGGGTTATCCAGTTATTAACTAGTCCCCACGCAAGCGATTGATCATATCGTGTCTACCAGGGGAGTCGCGTGGGTCGCCACAATAGTGGCTGAATTTGGCATTAGCTTCCAGGGTATTGGTTTCCTATTGTCCTGAGTCGATTACCCGGATCTCGAACAGACAATAAACTTTCGCCCCGTTGCACTGGTGAACGATGTGTGCAGTAAGATGTTTGATACCACATTTTCGCACATTCTGACATCTAATACCAAGCGTCCGTTCCCGATATAGTAGTCCGCCTTTCTGTGGATCCCTCGTCCTGTCGGTTGCGATTGAGACTATAAGCTAGTGTGGGAAGTGGCGTTCGCCGACTAGATTACAAGAGATACTAGTTCCGCTCCGTGTTGAGGCCAATCAAAAACTTTGCAGAAAGTCGCATAGAGGCCCGTAATGATGCGTCTCACTACAGGAATCTTAGACCGGTTCGTCGCGTGCCTTCAATCTCTTGAAGCGAATGACCGAAGCGTCATCTCACGTGGTGATGATGATACTGTCAAAATTATCAGCCGAAGGAATATGCGGATGTAGTGATAGCCGACCCCGAAATCCTGTCACGCACGGTTTCCGCCGTTTGGATGATAACCGCTACAACATTGTCCGGGAGGCTTTACTACCAACCGGTTGCAGTGAAGGGCCTCAATGGAGACTCGGCCATCTTTAAACATGTAACTTACCTATTTGGTCATGGTTTCAGATCAACAGTTCTGGTAAACTAATGCCTAGCTTCACTTTCTGTCATGAGGTCACGCCTATCGACCGCCTCATTTAACTCCTTAATATACTTTTTTACACATTAGTATACCCTGACCGGGGGGGGGGGTGGGATCCTGAACTTCTCGAACATCAAGTCAGACTCTTCGCGGCCGTTTACAGTGTCCTTAGCATTGCCCATTCAAGTGAAGTGCAAAGATCATCTCGAATGAGTCGATCCGCACAACTTGCGACGTCGCGAGACTATATCGTGCAAGACAGGTAGAACGCCTAGCACATTGTTTGCCGCTTCTTAAATACGACTCTACCACCTCACCTGAGGTGACGGGAAGATAGTCTATTCGAAACCTCGTCCGGCAGTTTTTCAAGGTATAAAGGTGACCCTTGTACTTGTGGTTTACGATTTTTATCGCTGGTGAACAAAGTAAGTATAACTCACTAGATCCATTGCCTCAGACTATCGAGGGGGGGGGGAGAGAAGCACTATTCCCAAGATCAATAAGTTCATTTATGCTCGGCGTAATCATATGCATACTAGATTAAGATATCTGTACTTAAAGGTCTTATGTGGTTTTTTTTAATGATGCTAGACTGCAGGTTTACTGCACACAGGTTGTTAGCATTGACGGTAACACAGGTCCGTTACCCCTTAGGGGCCGGAAGAAAGTTGCTTCCGAATGTCATTGATAGATCCGTATTGAAACGTTTCGTTTTACACCTGAATCTGACAACGCTTGGTATTTCTCAGATGTTTTATTTCTGTCTCCTATTTCAGCACAACACCCGGTGGCAGCATTTTCAGCACCACTCCCGGTGGCACGCGTATCTTCTATGATCGTGAGCAAGTACTAATGTGCAAGAATTCACCGATTGCGCGATCGCCACCCACAGGACTCGCCTGCATACCCGGCGTCACCTGTCCCGCAAACTGCGACAAGAGTTGTCACCGTCCTCCCCCTGCGAAACCACATTCGGCTGAAACGCCGACTGCTGACGAGCCCTGCCAACCGGAACCACCGAATAGCAAAGGTGAGCAAATCTGTCATCTGTGGCCCCTCATATCTTCTCCGTTTGTGACAGCCTAGCTGTCTTACATGATTAACAATTAACATCAATCCATGCACTTCACCTTTGTGAAAATGGTTATCATTTCTAACTCGTTTCGGGCTGCTTGGTATGTTCAGCAATGTTGGCTGAACGTTGAGTCTTAACTGATGTCATTACACGGATTATTTACAAACTCCCCTCGACAACACAGACTAACTGACGTTGCCTCCGACGTCGAGAATGCCAATGTCTCAGACAAGTAAGTAGCACTTGTAGTGACATTGGTTCAACGTCCAAGCTTGTTGCGAACAAACATATCCTCGCGTGCTTTATCATACGTCAAACACTTGCATATTTCGAGCTCGTCAGGAGGACATTGGTAGTCTGAAGTTTGTCATACCGAAACCTGCCGATAGTTGGCACTTCCACAACTGAACGGTGTGGAGTCTCCCATACCCTCTTGTGAACCATGTCACGGACTCAGCGGGCTGACTCCTATCTCGGATTCTCCTTTCCCTCTCCCCCTCTTTCCAGTCGTGCTTTTGAAATTGGGCTTTTCGAACACGAGGTGGTCACACGATCCTGTTTTAGACTTGTCTGCCTGAATCGCCGTAGGTGAGTATGTGTTTGCCGGTCTTTTGGCCTTCTCGCCTGATTTCTTCTCCTGTAGCGATGGGACAACGTCCTCAGCTTGTTAGGGCTATACGTGGTTTTACGTGTTCAAGCCCCTCAACGCAGACTGCGCTTTTGCGTTATATCTGGTCGCAGTCTTCGCCGGTGTAGCACACGCTAGATGACGGCTCATGCCACGGCAGTCAACCTAACCTATTTTACAGTCGGCCCTAATTGGACTTGCCGCTGAGGGCACGTGAGTCCAACGCATACTGTTCTCCATCAAGCCATCGTGACATGCTAAATGTCATGGTCTTAAAGGTTGTCAACTGGCAAGATACCGCGAGATCCTGCTTTGAGCCGCTGCAACTGTTCCTTCAATTGGCCTTATGTGACAAGGGCTGAAATTTCATGTACCTGAAAGATCGGCATGTGACTTCAGTCTCGTCACTCACTGCCCGCTTAGCGATCACTAGTCTGTTCTAATTTGTCTTGTGTAAGAAGAGTGGGTGAGGGCAATACCACGCGAATAGCGGTGTAGCTCAATTGACTCTACCGTCAGAACTGTGCTCACGGGAAATTTCACGGCGACGAACAAGCTTTCGTGCGTCCGGTTCACAAAAATCTCTCTCCGAAGTCCTCAATAAGTTGGTCCGGTGTTCGAAGAGGTTTTATCCTGTGACCCATTCTCGGAAGGGCCCTACACGGTTTTCAGGCTATTCAGTTTGTACGCTAGCGTCAGCGGACGCTGACGATATCTCCCTCCTAGCCGCGAATGACTGAAATCGCCAAATTGATCGGTTCACCTATAAATGCTGCTTTCGAGCTGCACCCTGGGGATTATTAACCGATTCCGATTAGCGATTTCAAATACCTCGAGGCGAAGCTGTTGCCAAATGGACAGAATAGACACGACGTTATTCCCCGAGTCGATGTTGCCTGCGGCTTTTTCACAATCCATCAGGCGTCAGTTGATGAGACCAAAAGACCCACTGCCACGGCTAGAAACGTCTGGAGTCGTTTATCGGATCTGGTGCAGTTGCGGACAAAGCAACTACGTCGGAGAAACCGGAATACAACTCCGAACGCGAATGGCCGAACACGCTGCAGCGGTGCGGAGAAATGACGCCAGCTCTCGAGTTGCGGCTCATTCGACGGGTTCCGGCCACACATTCAAATTTTACGAGACCGAAATTCCCGCAAGAGGCGATAACCGCGTGAGCCGGGAGCTGCTTGAGTCATGGTTTTCTGACCCCCAGTCTATTAACAAGTGCAATGATCTTCCCATTCAATACACCGCGCTGAGACTTCGTCTAGGCGGAGTAATTGGCCACGCGGGGAGCGCACTGGTGAACACTTTTCCCAACACCCGGGTCAGCGCGTCAGATGGTCGAGCAATAATCACACCAACATCCAACGCATGTGATGAAGTCGCAGCAATTAACGACACGAATGTTGGCCATCACGCCACGTGCAACGATCCCTGATGAAGGGGAGGGAGCCGTGAATATTCATAGGTATGCGGTAGCATGGCTACTGCATCCTATAAAAACTGCATCCACATGTGCATGAACCAGCCTAATCTGCTTATGTCCCTGATGATCGATTCAAGCAGGAATCTGAAACGTCAGGCTACTAAAGCTCTTGTCCCGGCGATCGTGTCTTCTTCTTCAATCCCCAGAGTGTTTATGGACCCGACGCGACATCATAAAGATCCACGAGTACCGGGCATCTGTGTAGTCAGTCTACCCCCGCGGTCGTGACTGCCGGGATGTGCGTGGACGACGGTGTCCGACCACCGCTGCCTGAGAACCATACCTTGAATGATGTACATCGACTGCGACACTCGCTGTCACAGCGTCGCGATTATATCTCAGGCCCTTTTAGAAAGGCTGTTTTGGCATGTTTTTCGTCGCTAGCCTCATGAGAGCTTAGTGTTGTTACCCTCGGTCAGGCGTCGTTGCTTACCCAAAAAAACTGGCTTGACACTGTTTGCAGTCACTGGAGAAGAGAATGGCTCGAGCTCTCTAGGTCCGCTGCCGCAGATCGTCACACGTGGAGAGATACACCCCGTGACGTTATGGATCCCGGTTAGATCAGGAATGACCACAGCTCCTGTACCAAGCTATCGTGTTCTACAATGTGCAGGTTTTACAGTGGAGCTTACTCAGCTTTATGGTGGGCACAGGGGTTGCATCCGATGTCCGCTATCGGCTTGGTTGGCCGATGGATTCCACGGCAGAGAAGTTGGGCTTATTTAGATTGTCAGCAAGGGGCTAGTCCTCACGTAGCAGCCACGGGCTGGGGAATTATGTCAACCCAGCCACTGTGCGTCATCAATGGTCGTTTACGTCGTCTTACCACTGGCTTCCAATGGAATTGTGTGGCGAGAACATCGCCATCACAGTTCAAACCATTTCCTTCCGAAGCATCCCGATCGTGCCAGTCATTATTGATACTTTCGAATCACCATACCCTTTGCAAAGATTAAGGGTGCTGGAATCCCACGTACTCGACTTGAATGTTAAGCCTGCGCGACTGGTCGCCTTTGCGGCATAACAGCGGACGTCCTGTGAACTGGTTTTGCCTCGAGCACACTGAGGCTTTCAGCGCCCCCGTTTTTTCCGCGGCTTTTCTCTTATTACTGTCAAATGCAGTCCTCGTTTGCGGAAGAAATGCTTTTAACTCCTCATAATCGCCTTTACTGGCTGTGGTGAAGTATCGGGATCCTCGCATCTGCTGGGCGGAATGTAACCTAAGGATCGGACTCTGGCAATCGCAACAGAAGGGCATGATGATGCTTCTTTTATGTTCCTCAAGAGTATACAGTTTGAGGCTTGTTTAGTAAGCATCGTTTACCCGTGCTTTAACATTATGGCCACGGGTCACCTTTTTACTGAGTCTTACGGTCTTTTTTGTTTCTTTTCAGGCGATGAGGAGTCCTTCGAAATAGATTTGTAAGCGCTCGCCACATAGACGTTTATCCCGCGTCGCCTCCTTGAAGGAGTCCAAATACCGTTATTAGCACTAATCGATTGTGGTGCTCAAACTTTCGAATATATGTGCCTTTCCGCTCCTGTCCCTTTTCTCGTTGTTAAAATAGCTTCTTTTCCGCACTGATGTCCTTTCTATGACACCTTTTCGGGAAATATATACTGTTTGTTCATCATGACATTCTGAGTTCTCGTGGAACCCTTTCTTATCTCGGGTGTGCAGTTTTGTACTTTGTTCGCTTGGCCGCTCGAACTTAGCCGAAAGTGGTCGGAGTTTATGCACCAGCGCTGTTGCGGCCAATCGAACAAGACAAACACCTTTGAGGGATCCAACCAATCGGCGCAGTCGCTGCCACCGTCCTGTTGTAGTCCAAACGTTTGACATGTCGAAGGTTGTAACGTCAGTGCACTGGATCTTGGTCTGGCAGTAATAACTCAGGCGGTTGTTGTGTCTCTTGAAAATTCCTGGTCTCATGAGGTTTTGTGCTACGGCTTAGGCCAAGTTAGCAAACGTAAGACATCCGGGTCGATAATCCGAGGAAAAAAGAAGTGATCACCGGATCGAGGGAATTGCCTTGCTGACTTTTCGGAGAGCTTGGCCGGCTCTCCGTTATCGAAGCGTTTAGTGCCAAAAACGATCACAATTCTAAACAGGCGCCCGAATTACTTGACCTTGGGCTGATTGGTTTTTTTTCTTTCGCTGTCTTGGCGTACTGGCCGTCGTTTGTGAGTGTTAGCGGCCTTCTGTGTTGTGTGTTGTCACCTCAATTGGGGTTAGTTACGTTTATGCCCCCATTTTGGGTGAATTAGCCAACGAACCGTGTTAGCTCTTTTTTTCGCACTAAGCGCTTTGACAATGGAAAGCCGACCATGCTCTCCGAGACGTCAGCAAGACAATCCCCTAGATCCGATGAGCATTTCATTTTCCACGGCTTAGTCCGTCATCAGCTACTCTTAAATATTTATCGTAATCCCTCCGCTGTGACCTCCCTGCACCACTTAGAATCCATTGTCTTGGGGCTGACCTGATTGGTGATTTTCAAGACGTCACGTGTGCGGGAGCTCGCTGTAGTTTTGGCTGTATATGGTCAACTCCCTAATCTCATAGCATACACTGACGAGCGATTCACGGTATAGCTATTACTAATAAGCTCCGACCTCGTATCTTGCCGCGCCCCAAAGCCCTGGCATGTGCTCCGCGCTGCGTGTATTAACAATTCACGCTCCCTCTGCTGTACGTGAAGTCAAGCCCTCCAGGTCTAAACCGGTGTTTCTCATGCTGCCAGCGCCCCTGGTTCAAGAAGGTGCCATCATCGCGTGCTCGGGGGGCCACTTTTGTTTGGCCTACAGCAGGCATGTGTAATGGCCATGCTACTCAGGGTGAGGGGGCTTTTCCTGGTCGGACGTTTCTAGGTGCCGACGTTGCCCGCGCAGTCGCGCCACACTTTCCTGTCGTCTCGATCCACCTTTGGCTACACCGGGGACGTATAACGTGTTGGACTGTAGTCTGTGTTGGATCGCATAGGGCCGGATTCCAGGATCGGAGTCTACGCGCCAGTAACCGCGCTGTTGTCAATTACAAGGGGGTACTCTGTGAAGTTGTGCACCTTACATTCAGAGCGTCCTAGTTGCTGGCCTGAAATGAGGCTACTTGACTCGTGGGAACTGGGACGAGCCTGATTTAGGGCCTGAGTGCAATGAGTGGGCGGTTGCTGTCCGTGCAAGATGACGCCTTTTGGTGTGACTGTATATTTTATTGTAATGCCAGTGCGGATGACTAAGGCGCAATAAAACCGGCCACTGTCGATTTGACAAGGACCTTTAATGCAGTCGAAAACGATGGGTTCTGAAAATCACGCAAAAATTCAGACGTATTATAGGATGGAATGATGACTCAGATCGCGGACAGTGTGGCAGTCTCGGAGGCGTTTATGGCTTCAAATGGCTCGACACCTGGTAGTGTACTTGCTGATGCCCTCTTTAGCTCCCTGCTGGTTAACGCCTACCGTGGCAAGGAATCAATGACTACCGACCTAATTGGCAACTGCTCAGCATCTGACGCATGCAGGCGTCCACGACGGAAGATCATGCTCAGTTCACGGGTGACTGTTCGCTCGACACCCTTCCAAAGTCTGGAACTCTTTGCCTCCGATTACAGATGCCCCCGCGTGACAGTGATTATTCGCCGAATAATGAATACGACGAACTCGGCATTAGTGTCAGTGGAACTCGCCTCACATAACTGTTGAGTATTATTTCGGGAAACATCAGGATCTACGACGAAATTGAAAGCCAGCTAGGTCTGTCGTCGGCTGTAACTCAGAAGAAGGACATGCGGTCACTGGAACCAGAAGTTTATTGGCCTGACGTTTCAGATTCTCACTCGAACCCAGCATCAGAGACGGTTTCAGGTAAAGGTTATAAATGCTATAACTCTGTTAGGAACCATCGCCACATTCCCAAGACGAGACCGTTTTCCTGATAACGATCCTGTACGAGACGAAAACTGTGTATGAAAGTCAAGCCAGGAAACTCAATCAACCACCTCAGCTGTCTCCACGCAAGCAGGAAAGGATTCCAGACATGTAGATCTTGGAAAGAACCACTGTCCCCAGCAGTGACGCCACATCGTGATGATGGATGGTGTGCGTCCGTATAAGCGCTCATCTTATGGCTACAATGCGATCACAACCGTTGTTACAAGGGCATCCCGAAGCCCCTCCCCCTCTCTTAGGCAACTCAAATCAATCCAGTTACTTGCAAAAACCGTCCGTAACCGTTGGGTGTATCTCAATCTACGAGGCCTGCCGCATAGAAGATGTCAAAGCGAAAAGACACAGGGGGCATGTAGATCTCGAGTACCGTGGATCAGCGCCGCTAACTTCCAACCCACCAGCGTGCCCGCATTGCCAACTGACACTCAGGACACCCATCGGACTGGTCGTGCACCCTCAGGTTCCGTGCTCTATTTCGCTATTGCTCATAGCCTCTCGTTTTCCCCACCACCAGCCACGTGTATTCAGTCCTAACCTGCTCCTCACCCCGTCTGCGGGCGCGCATAAACCCTTGGAGCATGCATGAACCTACTTCACAGCACGCGCATACGCGAGTTTGTGGCGGCCAAGGATGTGAGATCAACTTAAACCACGCACAATAAGTTCGTTTCCTCCAATGTCGTAAGTCAGGGAGCTGTGAGGATTAGTTTGTTCTGTGCGCAGGGCAGACTGCCGTAAGTTGGCTGTTTGCTTGCAACGGAGAAAAACGTCTGTTCACGGAGAGCGTCAGTCGCGGTGTGTTGTTTACGCGGGAGGGAGTGTCTGGGTCAGCAGGAGGGAGTGACTGGTTGGGTGTTAATCGTGTGATTGGAAAAATTAGGGGGGAATAAGGGGCGCATGCACGCATGCACGTTTGCCCTGTGCTTTCTAATAGATACACTAGTTTTGAAAATCCAACCATTTATTTTCCCCAGAAATTAATCGCCAACTTGGAGTAAGTCAAACTATTTTAGATTTATACACTCTGACTGAAATTCGATATGAATATTTGGAGTAAAGTCATTTACAGTGGAAGGGGTCTGCTTACTGAGAGAAGTAATGAAGGACGCCGGTGTAAAGTATGCCTACATACGGAAAAATATGGCAAAACTTTCTCCCACCGACAGCAGTAAGTTGTGCAACCCCCACTCCGCAATCGATAACCACACGCCCGTGTAATGCGGAAATGGTGGTAATAGGGGCATTACGGAAGGAGCATCATCGAGGAGGGGGAGCGAAATACATGCATCAAAACTTAAATAGGTTGATTTCCGCTGAAATTATTTTCTACGCCATTATATAACAACAGAAGTGAGCGCGTCGACTAAAAAATAAACAACTTGCAATAGATAAAAGGTATTCAAATTATCCGTCACTCGCAAATTCGCGAGAGATCGGGAACCAATGGAACGAACAACCAATAGAAGACAAGAGGGTCAGATGCGGTTATGTAGCCCCACCGAAAGTAAACAAACCCAAGCCACCTGTAATACGGAAGCAGTGGTAATATGGGTTTTTACAGGTGAGACCGGGGAACGCACAGGCGACGAGGTCAAGTAGTTGCATGCGAAAGAAACGCTGTTGGAAATGCCCGGCTGTACTTTGAGTGCTTGAGAAATAGTTGCTCTAGCCCTTAACCCTGACCCCAAATCCAACCCTTAGTCCTAACTCCTAACCCTCACCACTAACGCTAACCCCAACCCCAAAAGTATTGTGTCCATCAGGTGGGGCTACATGACCACATCTTACTGAGAAAAACTATAAGCGTCAGATATTTAAAGTGCGGAAATATACTACGACACGGCGTAATGCACATGAGTGTTATATAAGCAATGAAAATGCACCCTAATGAACAAGGGAAAAGTCAAATAACGTAATTATGAACACCTGGTTGTATCTTCATAAAACGTCAACTGACTGCTGTTAAATAAAACGGTAATGATAACAATTATGCATATGTAACCTTTATGTACAATAATGAAACGCAATTATGAACAGGGTAGGTATTAATGGTTGTTTTTTTTTCCTTCCAAAAGACAGACAATCGGCTCCAGGTCGCATAAAAGTCAGACAACGGCAACTTGACTTTCTGACCAGCGCGGAGAAAATAACCGAATCTATAGACTCGAAGAAAGTGGTAAAATATTGTCAAGCAAGTAGGCTGCTATCGAGTGCGCCAAAATGCGCCACCAAGCAATGAGGCTGTACACCGACAGATATGTGTTCCGGTGCGGCCGATGGTGAAGGAGGAGAGCTCTAGGGGTTCCGGTGTTGCATCGGGAAATATGGACCCACGTAGACGGGCCTCAATATCGTCTGCGGTTTGGCCTGGACAACATTTGGCCTAAAGCCAGCGTGAGAAATATCCCTGTCACATATGGTGGAAGCATATCTAATGGAACAGCTTCCCGAACAGGGAACCTGAAGGGTTCCTTTCTGAACGCAATTTAACGATCATTTAGGAGTAGAGTTTTTGTACATTAACTCAGCTGACTTCAACTGTCTTATTAGTGATTATGTGAAAGACTAAGCACAAACATTCATGAAAAGTTAGGCAAGCCATGGCGTACGCGTTGGACAACAGAGACCATTCGGAGATATCGGGGAAGCTGGGCGTTTTGCGTTCTAACCGAGGCAAAGTAAACCAAAACGTACGACGACCCTTGGAGCACGCATTGCACGGTAAGTGTTGACATGGCACAAGAAGATTAATCTACAGTTTTGTAATGATTTACCGTGTGGCAGTCAAGGATGTGAGATCAACTTGAACCACGCACAATAAGTTCGTTTCGTCTAATGTCAGAAGTCAGGGAACTGTGAGGACTAGTTTATTCTGTACACAAGGCAGGCTGCCGTAAGTTGGCTGTTTGCTTGCGACAGAGATAAGCGTCCGTTCACGGAGAGCGTCAGTCGCGGTGTGTCGTTTACGCGGGAGGGAGTGTCTGGATCAGCAGGAGGGTGTGACTGGCTCTGTTTGCCCTATGATTGGACAAATTAGGGCAGGAATAAGGGGAGGCATACTCACAATGCCTCACGGGTATCAAACCAGGGCGTTCGACGCGCGTGAGGTGATGAAAGTTTGTGAGGTCAGCCGACAGTCACTGAAGTTGGACCGGAGGTGTCCCAGTTCCAGCCGGCAGGGGTGGCCGTGTGTCAACAGCTGTCGTGGCCATTGTTCGACAAAACGGAGCCGGAGAAAAGGGCAACTGGAGCGGCTGCTACAATGTGCTGCGCAATGTGGCTCTTCCGCAGCAAGCATGCTGCCCGGTTTTCCATCGCCAGCATGACGGGTGAAGTGTCGGGTGTGGGGACATTTACATCTCACGTAGGGTCCGTGTCACCCAGCGCTGTCTGGCTCGTGGCGTGGGACCGGCCTGTGTGTGGCGCGCGTAGATGGGCTGTCTGGTTTTGCGTCCCATTTCGTCACCAGTCGGCAGAGGCTGGGCCATAACGTCATGCCCTAATGTGACTTTTATAGCATTTACACCTGGGCGAAATCCGAGCCGTCAGTGTTGCGGCCTGATGCAGTAAGTTGGGGCCAGGCCGTGAGCGGTAAGCGCAGACGCACGTTTCGGCCGTACCATCCACAGCGCCCTCCCCACTCATCTTAACTTTGTCACGCCATCGGAGCAATTTGGCCGAGAGACTATAGTGTGGTAGATATTGCGCAAGTCTGACTTGTGATAAACCAAGTTACGCGCACACCGCCGCTGCCTGCACTCCGTAGGACACGTGGCAGACGCCGTCGTCTTCCGACGGCCGAACTGTTATGTCACTTACAAAATGGTCACTACCCAAGGCGATATAACGGCATGGTAAGCGTTTCTGTCATTCGGTGGGGTTTCCGTCATTGCCCCACAGACTGGTTTCACCCTCATTGGACGGTGACACCTTTGGTACTATATCTCTGCGAATTTTCACGGCACGGGCCGGAGGCGGCCAAACCATCACAAGTGCCAACCAGACCAGCGCGAGAGACAAGGCCTGTCCGAATTATGCTGCCACTGTTCTCGTAAATGTCAGGAGCTTGTCCTTGGGGGCCGACGATCACCACAGTTCTGGATTGGGTGCGATTGTCACTTGGAGCAGGCTTGTGCTGATCGATCTCACTTTTCAACGGGAAGACGATGTAATGGTCGTGTGTGCACTGACCGACATGGCAGATAAGCCATACACACGACTTAATCTCTGCCACCACAAGTACCGCGACTCAGTGACGTGGTCTTGGATATCATGTGCATGTAGGACGGAATATGCGTACTCTCTGTTTGGATGCCCGGATTCAGTGTGGGTAAGGAAAGCCAACGTGGCGAGTCTAGGTCGAGGCTCCAGGCACTGGTTTTCCAGTCGTGGTGCAGGGACCCGCAGGTATCCGGTCAACCCGATGCGTGATTAGGACGCGCCGTTGCAGTCTTCCGGCACGTCAGCATTCTTTGAGCTGCCTTCTTGATCTGGGGGCTGTCCAAATCGCGGCGGATGTGAAGGTGTGTGGAGAGGACGCGCCGGAACTGAGATACGATAATGCCATGTCGGTGCGGATGACGCCAGTGGTCGTGATGAAGACGGTGTTTTGTGTCGGAGTTGGTAGACTGGTTGTGCCTACTTGTGGTGAATACGGTGTTGTTCCAATAGGCTAATCCGCGCCGAGAATGCTGATCAGCCATACGGACATTTTTGCACGGATTGAGTCTTGTCTGCGTCACTCCCCAACATTCCATTTTCGAGTGCTTGGCTTGACGATACAAGGGCTCTCGCGCTCATTCAGCTGTTGTGCCCACGCACATTACAAAAGACTTCCACCTATTGTCTGTGGGGTTTAGGTCCTGCTTTGTAATATGATAATTAAAGCCTAATTTGTGCGTTGCACGCTCCGGGGAAATACTAGTCTACGTAGGCCAGTAATTGTTGTGAAACAGTTGCTTACATCTGTTCCATTTGCACCTGATTATTCGCCCTGCATGCATGCTTCCTGACCCCAATGACGTGTGTTGGCTTCTGTTTGATCAGGACTGCCTCGCTGATTACAACAACTTCATGTTGGCATGCGAACATTTGCATCACGAGGCCCGGTAGGTAACCAGGTATCATCCTTATGCGTGTCCTTTATCTCGTTTAGGTATTTTGATCCTGAATGAGGTAGATGTGTGCACGCTAGACTTTCTGCGGCGTTGCAGCGTACCCTAGCATGTATCGCGCAGGCGGACGGCAGACACTTGACGGAGGCTTTATGCTGTGCGGCCGTTTGGATTAGAGAGTAGGGCCAACTGGTGAGATGACTTTGTCCGTCCCCATATTAGTCACCAGCTTACAGTAGTTCTTTCATGGCGACCCCTTCTAAAATGCGATTTCGTCTCGAAAAGATTAACTAAGTACAGTTGTAAAACTAATCATTGCACAGCATAATTCTATCATAATTCTGTTACCTCAGGATGCCGACTTTCAAACGAACTTCTTTCCGGCGGCATGCAAGAACTAAACTCTGTAAAAAGGACTATTTAAGTAGCATGCGTTTTTCTTATTGATTTTCGATGCCTCTAAAAATTCAATTATATTCCATGGAAACCATGCATAAAATATTCATTATTCTGCCCATTCGGTAGAAAACTAGGTCTCCTCCAATCTTATACACGAATGAAGGGTATAATTCGGTTTTAATACCGTAGAGAAATTTGTGGTTTTCTGTACGCGGGAAATATACGGCTTGTAGTTTGGAAACCCTGAATGTAAGTGTAACGGCAGATCGGGTTCATAATTATCCGGGAATTCGAAATGTTTTTGAAAACTAAATCATACACTACTTTCGAGTAAAAAGTTGGGAGAAGACGTAATTTCCTACCGAATGAGCAAAAACATGATTATTTTGTGCATGTCTTTCATAAAATACAGTCGGATTTTAAGGGCATCGAAAATCAACGATAAAACGCAGGCGACTTAAGTAGTCATCTTTACAGAGTACAGCTTTCGCATGCAGCCGGAAAGAAATCCGTTCGAAAACGGGCATCATGAGGTAACTGAATTATCATTGAATTATGCTGCTCGATGATTAGTTTTACAACCCAGTCTACTTAATCTTTTCGAAACGAAAACGCATTTCGGAATTTCAGTTAACATTTCATGAGTCAGTCCACCTACTGTATGCGAGTGCGGGTTAGCGCATGTGCAGCACGTGTAGACAACGATTCAGTCCCTGCAGCCAAACCCACCTCCAGTCGATTTTGCCTTGTCACAGGAGTAGAGTATGTACTGGGGGAAAGAGAGAGAAAGAGACGGGGTTTATTGATCAGTTCACGCACAAGTTCTCGTCATGCCATCTCCTGCTGGTATAATCTCCACTCCTTTTAAAACCGTCTTGTCATCGAGGCAAAGTGGGTGCGGTAGATGCTGTGCGCCGGTCGGTTTCACTATAAGCCTATTCGCACGCAATTCACCGTCCTGCGTCCATTACGCTCTGCTGTACACGGTGGACATAGTCGTTTGCGACGGTTAAACTATAATTGCCGCACTCGTCTTCAAAAGTCCCATAATTACAGACGCTTTTTTGAAACTGAGAACCACACCCTTTCTTAAAGTATGCAATTGGGAGACGCAATTTATCATCAAATAAGTACATGAAAAGATACATTTGTGCATCTACCCTATAAATATATATTTGCCGCTAGAAGGACATCAAAAGTCAACGGAAAAGTGCAGAGTTAGTTGCTCTTGACAAGTGTGGTTTTTGCAGACGACCCCAGAGGAACGCATCCAGTGATTTTATGATAATCGCTACTACGTTGCTAACCAAGAAACCTCATATAATTGAAAACGCAGCTCAGAATTTCAGTTAAGTGCTCGCGAGGTACGTCAGGGCGACAGAGGCGACCCCCTCCCTCCCCCCCCCATGCTCGATGATTCTGTCTCTTGGCACCTCAGTACTCGTGACAGGGCTGGTATGGATGGTTTTTTGATCAGCTGACGTAATGAAGGAGGTTTGACGTAGATCAAGTCTGATTAGTCACACCGTCTCCGCAGCAAAAGATGAAGATAAAGACGGTGAGCAGTCTCTTCGGGAATTCGATCAGTGAAGTGTTTGACTGTTGTGAAATGTCAGTTAACTGTACTATCGACAAGATGAGAGACAAAAAACACCGGTGGCGAAGGAGAGAGCGTACGGTTAAGTTCTTTAAATGAGTACGTACAGTTAGTGGGCTGTTTCATGAAATGTTGGCCTAAATTTTGAAATACGTTTTCGGTTAGAAAGGATCACTGATTATCGTGCAGCTTTATCCCAAAACATGTCAGGCAACCCAGGACGCCGGCTTTTAAATGAGCTTATTTCCGGGCACCTGCATTAAACCATATTCGGCACAAAATGACTTCGTAAGCAGCACAACATTTTCCCCTTTGGTGTTCGATGTCTCCATACAGTCAAGTACATTTTGTAGAAAACACATGCTAGGATATTTTTTCTGGCATTCATTTGGTGAAGAATTACGCCTTCTACTATTTTAATACTAGGAAAAAGGATATTTTTCCTTTTTAAAAAAGTTTCTAATCTTGAGATTTTTTAGGGTCGCGAAATTTTCATTCATACATCGTCGTACCAGCATGTTTGTTAGTGTCGCCTATGATGCATACAACATGGCCCACAGCCATTGCAAAACTTCATGAGCTCTACATGAATCTTTCATAATAGCATAAACAAATACATGATTCTCCTTAAACAGAAGCTATGGTGAATGGAGTTTTGAAACCTATAGCGCAAGCATGATTGCAGGTTGAGCTCATTACTATTCCGGAATTAAAGAAACATTTCCAAGCACAAAAGATACCCTTCCCTTGAGTATGTACTCCAAAGAGGGCGTAATTCTTTGCAAATGAGTACAAGAAAGAATATGTTTGCATACGTCTTCTATAGAACGTATTTGAACACCAAACATCAGCGGCAAAATTTCATACTGTTTACGTAGCCACTTTTTTTCGGCATCCTGGGGTGACCGCAATGTCTTCGGATTACGCTGCACGATGATCAGTATTACGGTCCCGCCTAAGTAATCCTTTTTAATTGGAAACACGTTTCAGAATTCCGGTTATCATTTTCTGACTTAGCCCACCTGCTGTATGTTTTTGATAGAGCAGACAAATGGCAGAATTACTGGCTGCGGTCTGAAGGTAGAAGATGAATTGATTGCAAAATTTACGAATATAATTGAAGATGGGTCCACACCAAGAATCAGTGGAGACAAGGTAACATCCGAAGGGCGAACCTACACCTGGAGGAATGTAAAGCGGTTGATAAAGGCAGGTGAGAAATGTACCACAATGCCATCCGGCTGTTAAGTACGAGGAAATTCTCTAGCGACGGTGTTGCCGACAGCCATCATGGCTACGTCTGGCGACCTTGTCCACGGTCTCGCTGTCTCAAGGTCACTCGTCCCTTGCAGACGCGCTGGCCTGAAACCACTCGCGGCTACTTGAACTCACCTCCCCCTGCAACCACAACTTAAACACCACCCCTCGGCAAATGCAACACACACCCATTGGGGACCACTTGAGCTTGACCTATGAGTCTACAAAAGCGGCTGCCAACACGGTCTCAAAAGCTCTCAGGCTTCAGCGGACGCAGCCAATATCGACCCTGGTTTTACCAACGACCACCGCCGCCTGGACGGACAACTCAGGGTTCTGTGCACAATAAACCCCTCATTCTGGTGTCTCCAGTCTTCTCATCACAAGTCGGGATTTGGCCTGATGATTGTAGCCCTCTGAGCACGGTGTCCCCCCTTAGTCGCTACAACCGTGCCGAGTCATGATCAGAGTTATCCTTAGGGCATTTTAGATCAGTCATATTTTCGACAATGTGGCGAACAATCTCCTCACCGGTACTCTGCTTACTTAAGATCGCCCAAGAAGTGCTTGGACGACCTTATGTAAACAGGATGAAGTGAAAGGTAACGCCTTGAATTACGTCACAATCAGTGGGAAGATGTGCGGTTGTACCACCGTCAGACTTACGGAACTGCGGTCCGGAGGGGGCAAAAGTTGCGATTTGATGAATGAAGAAGCTGGAGGACCACATTTATAGGCTCTGTTACTGTCAAAAGCATACGAGTAATCTGGAAATTCACGCGGTAAATGACGCGTTAACGTCCTGGGCAATTTATTGCATGGACATCGGAAGGGTTGATTAACAAACAACTGGAGAGAAGGAAGCGAGAGAGGAAGAGCGAGACCGGAACCAGGCAGTCGGGTTCCATTTCTAACTGCAAAAAGGTCAGGGTAGGTAAGTTGAAAATGGTTACGAGAAGCTTTGAGACAATCGTTCGCAGCGCCTCAAGCACGTTTAGGTCCTCTACCTCTGACACTTACGTTGAGTGAGGCATCATGTGATCGCGATCTTCCGAACTGCTATCCAGAGCCCGTGTATTCGTTTGCATCCATAGTTATACAGTCACCGACTTCCAAACGGATGGAATAGGCGCACATTTGGCCGTCCCGAGGACAACCAATCGCAGGAGCCAACAAACTGCACGATCATCCAATCAACTCACCAGGCTGACAGGGGCTGACTCTCCGATGACACTTATTCACTCGCGTCTGCGTCACCCTTGCGGGAAGACGCGCGTGCCGGCCGCTCATCGATGGGTCTGTGGACAACGCAGTGTCTGTTTAGAATGCACGTCCCCCTCTCCGCCAAAGTGGGGCCGAGCCCTGATTATTTATGATTGAGGTACGACAACTATCCCTGGTCGCTACGTGTTCAAGGAGGCAAAGTTTTCGAAGTCCAAAAGTGTCAGGGGGTGTAGATCGGGCTGGGTAAGGTAACAGACGTTCACAAAACAGTGGAGCACGTTCTCCGTGGAAGAAACGCTAAGGCATTTCTGAAAGTTACTGGGGATTTAGGTGCTGTGAAGAGAACAGCCTTAAGACTCTCTGGAACCTGGCGCTTCTAGATGACGACAGCAACAACGACCACAAAGTCCCCAGTCTACAGTCTTGTAAAGATTTTTTTATCTGTTCGGATGTAATAAATGGACGACAGTGAAGTTGGCTGCAATTTACTGCTGGCATTCAAACACGTCCCCTAGAGGCGTATTGCCTCTTCCTCTTAAAAACAGCAGGCCTTTATCGTGTGCGTTGTTACAAGTGTAACACGGATTCGCCATACAACCCATGTGGCAAGCAGTTAGCGCGCAAGAAATGTCCTAATCTGATTTTTGGTTGGGCAAGGTGGCTGTGTTCGGTATCGACTGACATGCGTATAATCACGTGCTAGTCGGTGTGCATTTCTCACATAAACTTGTGTGCGCTATTACCGCGTAGCGTCCTGTTGGGCGTCTCCCGTCAACGCGCCCGAAATGTACCCACGAGCCATGTTGACAGGCGCACGATCTTAAGGAATTGTGCTCAGACCTCCCATGCACGCACGCTCTTCGCGAGCGCGTGACTACGCTGCTGGAATTAGCAAACGAGCTATGTGAGGAAGTGCGCGAGGCTAGTTGGGCTTCAGGCTTCCAAAGTGATTGCCTGCAATGAATGCAGCTGAAGTCAAATGGGGAACCGGCGCGTGGAGGTGTCCTGCTAGTGGCTATGGAAGGTGACTGTCACAGGGTGGCGTCGGACGGAATGGCTAACGACTGATGGGTAGTTATCCTGACTGAAAACGTCTGCTATGCCAGGATCAGCAAACCATGGCCCTCGCAGCCTGGTATGCGGTGGCAGTTCTCTGACATCTGGTTCCCTACCGGTATATACGCTGGTGCCCCCACTGGGTAACAGGTCGTGAGCACGGCTGCCCAGTCATCCTCGTATTTCGGCTACTGCTGTCGTTGTTGCTGTTGGTGTTATTTATTAAAATCTTCGTTATCTAGTGTGTGTGTGTGTGTGTGTGTGTGTGTTCACGTGAAGGTCGTAGTGGTCGCTCACTTGCTTGCAGGTGAGACTACGCCTAGCGTCCACTTGCTGGCACTCAACTCTTACATGTGGCTCCACGTAGCTGGGCTCTGCTCAGCGGCCACACCCCGGGCAACCGCCTCGACCGGCGGGCTGAACCAGGTGAGGGCGGTTACTCCCTGTGCGCGTTGTGCCGCGTGCACAGGGGACTGCGGACTCCGTGGACGGTTGGTCGGATGGAACACCGCGTCGGCGCCGTCGTGACGAGGCTCTGTCTGGCACACCGCTGGTCAGCCGGTTGGTGGTGGAACGACGCATCGGCATCATCAGGACGAGGCTCCGCCTGGTACGCCGTTGATCAGCCGGTGGGATGGATCTCCGAATTGGCACCGTCGACGCGCGCCCATCTGGTGCACCGTATGAGACCGCAGGCTTGCGGCAATGCCGTAAGCCATTGACAAATTCGAGTCGTTCTTCCACTGCCAAAAAAACTCGTGGCCCACAGTGGAGTTCGGCCGCGCCGGCACATCAAGCAGCCCCTATTCAGGGGTCAGGGCACTGCTTCCTTCGGGGGGGCCTGGAAAAGCTGGCCTAAAAATGGCTGGGGAACCACGTCGTCTGCTGGCGCACCGTGGTCGCAGACGCAAAACTCACGGTCGAAACAATCAAACTCGAGACAACAGCAACAACCATACTCACTCTCCTCATACTACCTCTTCTAACTCTACTTCCGTCTATTCTTCTGCCTATTCTCCTCCATCGTCATCTTCTTATCCACCTCCTTCCCGTCGCCCCACTCGTTTTCCCCAGACTGACAGGGTGAGCCCGCTCACTCTGGCAGCCTGGAATGTTCGTTCCCTTTTAGACAACCCGAGGAGCAACCGACCGGAACGGAGGACGGCGCTAGTGGCACGAGAACTGGCGCGCTACAAGGTGGACATCACCGCACTCAGCGAGACTCGATTCTCCGAACAAGGCCAACTGGAGGAGGTGGGTGCCGGTTACACCTTCTTCTGGAGTGGTCGACCCAGGGCAGAGCGACGAGACGCGGGTGTCGCCTTTGCCATCCGGACCGACATCGTGGGACGACTACCCTGTTTGCCGCAGGGAATCAACGACCGCCTAATGAGCCTCCGTTTGCCCCTCCGGCGAGGAGGCAAGTTCGCCACCATCATTAGCGCCTACGCTCCGCCGATGAGCAGCCCCGACGCCGTCAAAGACAAATTCTACGAGGACCTGCATGCCCTCTTGGCGACTGTGTCGAAGGCGGACAAGTTGATTGTCCTTGGCGACTTCAACGCCCGCGTCGGCACAGACCATACTGTCTGGAGGGGAGTGCTGGGCCCCCACGGTCTCCGCGGCTCCAACGACAACGGCCTGCTTCTCCTTCGCACCTGCGCAGAACACCGCCTCACCCTGACGAATACCTTCTTCTGTCAGCCGGAGCGAGAGAAGGCCACCTGGAGGCATCCTCGGTCACGTCAGTGACACCTGCTGGACTATGTCCTCGTCCGGAGGCGAGATCAGCGGGACGTGCTGGTGACGAAGGCGATCGCGGGTGCTGACGGGTGGACCGACCATCGCCTCGTCATCTCGAAGATGCGTATTCGCCTACAGCCTCGCAGGAGACCACAAGGTAAGCGACCCCCAGGTAAGCTGAATGTTGCTTTGTTGTCTTTGCCTGCTCACCGTCTCCATTTCAGCAATGAGCTAGCTCAACGGCTAGACAACCTTCCTATCGCTGCCGCCGCCGACGACGCCGCCGCCGCCGCCGCTGCCGAGAACGCCTCCGTGGAGAACCGCTGGTGTCAACTGCGAGACACGGTCCAGTCGACGGCGCTCGCCGTCCTCGGTCGCGCTCCTCGCCAACACCAGGACTGGTTCGACGACAACGACGCCGCCATCAGAAATCTGCTTGCTGAGAAGAACCGCCTACACAAAGCCTACGTAGATCACCCCACTGAGGACAACAAAGCTGCCTTCTACCGCAGTCGCCGACAGCTTCAACAACGACTGCGCGAGATGCAGGACGCCTGGACTGCTCACAAAGCTGAGGAGATCCAAGGCTACGCGGACCGCAACGAATGGAAGAATTTCTTCTCTGCGATCAAAGCTGTCTACGGTCCGCCGACGAAGGGCACTGCTCCTCTCCTCAACGCCGACGGCAGCACTCTCCTGACTGAGAAGACGCAAATCCTACAGCGGTGGGCCGAGCACTTCCGAGGCGTCCTCAACCGCCCTTCCGTCATCTCCGACGCCGCCATCGCCCGCTTGCCGCAAGTGGAGACCAACGCGGACCTCGACCTCCCGCCATCTCTTCAGGAAACCATCAGGCCGTTCAGCAACTCTCCAGCGGGAAGGCACCCGGATCGGACGCAATCCCTGCTGAGGTCTACAAGCACGGAGGTCCCCTACTGATGGATCACCTGACTGCGCTCTTCCAAGAGATGTGGCGTCAAGGTGAAGTCCCGCAAGATTTCAAGGATGCAACTATCGTGCACCTATACAAGCGAAAAGGGAATCGCCAAGTCTGCGACAATCACCGTGGCATCTCCCTACTGAACATCGCCGGGAAGATCTTCGCTTGCATCCTGCTCAACCGCCTCAACAACCATCTGGAACAGGGCCTTCTGCCGGAAAGCCAATGCGGCTTCCGTCGTCATCGTGGGACCACGGATATGATGTTCGCCGCCCGCCAACTTCAGGAGATGCGGACCCACCTGTACTCTACATTCGTGGACCTGACGAAAGCCTTCGACACGGTGAATCGTGCAGGACTGTGGAAGATCATGCAGAAATTCGGCTGTCCGGAGCGATTCACTCAGATGGTGCGTCAGCTGCACGACGGTATGATGGCGCGAGTCACGGACAACGGAGCTGTCTCAGAGGCATTCGCAGTGACCAACGGCGTAAAGCAGGGCTGTGTGCTGGCGCCTACCCTCTTCAGTCTTATGTTCTCTGCCATGCTGATGGACGCCTACCGCAACGAACGCCCTGGAATCCGCATCGCCTACAGAACGGACGGTCATCTGCTGAATCACCGGCGCATGCACTTCCAATCGCGTGTATCCACAGCCACCGTGCACGAACTCCTCTTCGCCGACGACTAAGCCCTGAACACCACCTCGGAAGAGGAGATGCAACGCAGCATGGACCTATTCTCCGCCGCCTGCGAGAACTTCGGGCTGGTTATCAACACGCAGAAGACGGTGGTGATGCACCAACCGCCTCCCAACTCAGCCACAGCCCCCAACGCGCCGCCGCAAATCAGCTCGAAAGGAACTCAACTGCAAGTGGTGGAGAACTTCCCGTATCTGGGCAGTACCCTCTCCCGCAACACCAAGATTGATGACGAAGTCGCCAACAGGATTTCGAAAGCCAGTCAGGCCTTCGGACGCCTCCGGAGCACAGTCTGGAATCGCCACGGTCTCCAACTGAGCTCAAAGCTGAAGATGTACAAGGCCGTCATCCTGCCGACTTTACTGTACGGAGCAGAGACATGGATGGTGTACACGAGACAGACACGCCGACTGAACCACTTCCATCTCAGTTGTCTTCGTCGCATCCTGAGGCTGAACTGGCAGGACCGCATATCCGACACCGAAGTGCTGGAACGGACGGGAAATCTGAGCATCTACTCCATGTTGAGACAAATGCAGCTGCGATGGAGCGGCCACCTGGTGCGCATGGACGACGAGCGACTACCCAAACGACTCTTCTACGGAGACGTCGCGACGGGGTCTCGTCGTCAAGGAGGCCAAATTCGCCGTTACAAGGATACTCTGAAGTCCTCCCTGAAGCGCCTGCAAATCAACCCGACCAACTGGGAAGAGCTCGCTCGCGATCTTCCGACATGGAGGAGAACAGTGAAGACGGGCGCTGCTATCTATGAAGCCAACCGAATCGCCGCCGCCAAAGCGAAACGCGAAGCCTGCAAATCACAACTTCGCCCTGTCCGCAACGCCGCCGCACAACCTCCCCCTATGTGTCCTCGATGTCAACGGACATTCCGGACACGAATCGGACTTGTTGGACATCTCCGAACCAACTGCACCTCTCGAACTGCTCCAGCCATCGTCCCCCCGCACGCCTCTTCCTCGTCCTCTCTTCCGCCAACTAACTCTGACACTCCTTCTGCACCACCACTTCCATCCTCCTCCTTCTCCTCCACTGCCCCAGCGGTGGCCGTTCAGGCTGCCGTCTCACACATCACCAACCCCGACACAACAACCGCCACCACCGCCAACCTCTCCCGATTCCAGTGATGAGGATCAGGACTACACCTGCCCTCACTGCGACCGCACCTTCACCTCACACATCGGCCTGGTCGGTCACTTGCGAATCCATCGCACAGAGACTGGCGAACCAGTGCCTGGAGCACCAACCTACACCCACCGCACTCGCCTCCACTGCTCACACTGCCCTCGCATCTTTACACATCGCATGGGTCTATTCGGCCACATGCGCATCCACAACGACCTGCGGTAGACAACCGCCGGTCACACCGCACATTCCCTCACTCCCTACCTCCTAACACCATCACCCCACCAGACATCAACCCCCACACACCTCATGCACTCAACTGCCGCCTCCCACGCAAGTGGGAAGTGCGCATCTCGACTCGGTCCCCATGCGGCTTCGGCTGCAGGGGTGACTTGTGCCCGAGACTATCCCGACACGTCAAGTGTCGTGGATAGGAAGGTTGCTGATTGAGGCCCGCCCTCGGTTCACGCAGTTCGTCACGTTGTGTGTGTGTTGTGTGTAGTGGCGGAGTGGTGGGCTTGGGACGGGCTGCAACAGCACCTTCCACGGCACTCTCACGCAAGCGAGAGACACGCCGTTGAACCCCCGTTGTGTGAAATCCTGGTGTTGGTGTGTGTATGGGGAGCCAGGTCGTGCTGTGGCGCGCGCAGGCATGGTCAGTCGACCATGTCAGCCACCGCGCCCATTCCCCACTCCAGTCTGCTGACCGGCTCGGACAGCGGCTGGGGTGTGGGAATGGGAAGGGAGAGTGGGGTCGACGACTCAGCGCACTTTCTCCTCTCTATAAACAATCTGACGCGCTTGAAGCTATCACGGTGCGCTAAAAGCCGTGGCTTGGAAGGTTGCCAACTGACGGGGTATCTTGGACCTCCTCCTTAACGGAGGCGGTCTGAGAGTCAGGCTGCAATGGCTGCTTTTTAATGTGGCCTTTATGGCACTCTCACCACTGTGTGGGATCCGAGCCAGGCGTTGGCGGCACGCCTAGGTGCGGCTTCGGCCTTGCCAGCCTCCAAATCTCTGTTGTGTTGGTTGAAATCCTGGTTATTGTTGTGTGTGCAGCGTATCCTGCCCGGGCCGTCAGGACATCATGCCACAAACGCGTGACAAGCGAACGATCAAGGTCATGGCCCCCTGTTCACACCGTCTTTGTGCTGATTGGCCACCCATCAGCCTATGACAGTCCCCCTTGCCATTTACCCGGCCGTTTCCACAAGCCTCCTCACTTGGGCTGTCTATCGTACTCAGTACACGTCCTATTTCCAATTAGCCTTCTGTTTTGCATACATAACATTGGCGACGCAGTCTAACGAACATGTCTTCTTTGCTGCCTACACCGCTACCTTTTTGGCCAAAGAACACCCCGAAGCCCTCAAATGACTCTTGGTTGCAATGGAGGAAGACATTTGAGGATTATATTGAACTACTCCCAATTTTGTCACCCACGATTGTACTAGACGTCCCATCTAAGTTGAAACTCCTCCGGACGAATATCGGAGAGTTGGGACAACGATATTTCGATGCCCTCAATCTACAAAAGGCTATAGATCTCCAAACAGCCTTCTCAAAACTCGAGTCAGCGTGGGGAGGAAAGGACAACGTCTTTCTCAGTCGCTATCGGTTTTGTCAAATGCGTTAAGAATCCAACCAATGTGTCAGTGATTTTATTACTAATCTGACTCTGGCCCTTCAGGACTGTGGGTATAAAGAGATCAAGGCAGACAACTTCGAGCTTGCAATGCTCGTTCAGCAGTTGATCGTCGGTCAACGCGATGAAAAAGCTCGAGAAAATCTCTTATCAGAGAAGAAGGATTTGTCATGGGAGAAAGCCTGTGATATTGCCAGTCATCAGGAGCGCGTGCGGCAAAACCTTCAGCAGCTGATTCAGTCAAACGATGGAGTGATAGCAGCCTTGGAATCGGAAATGGCTTTCTCCCTGGTCAACACTGCTGTGTCTTCACCTAGACAGCGACCCTCAGCTCCCTCAAAACAACTACCATCATGCTACCGTTGTGGCCAGCATCATATCCGGTGGTCAGACTGTAGACACCAGAAGACGGTATGCCAGTTTTGCAAGAAAGTCGGCCACATCGAACGAGTGTGTTTCTCCAAAAGACGAGCGAATAGTAACACGCATGCGACCTACCCTAGTCCAGCTGGGAATGGTGAGGCGATACTCCGAATGTTTCCTGCCAACGCTCCACTCCAATCGCCCTACACCATCACGCTTCCGGTTGATCACCATCCCGTGAAGTTTGAAATCGAAACTGGCTCAGATGTTACTCTCAACAATGAGGCCTCTCTTCAGAAATTACCCTCCCTCCTACCGGCTAGCTGAACATTCCGTAGTTACACTGGACAGAACGTAGACGTTCGAGGGGTCTTTACAGCCGAAGTCGAACATGATGGAGAACTTCATTACTTGCCGGTTCATGTGGTGAGAGGAAGCCAGCAACCGAATCTCCTTGGACGAAATTGGATTAAATGTGTGCCTTCTGTGCTATCCTATGTACATCGGATTGGTGTAAATCCGGCTTTAGATTCAATTTTGGTAAATCATAAGTATCTATTTCGTGACGATTCAGCTACCCACTACCGCGGTCCACCTGTTAAGTTTCAGTTTCAGTCAGATTTCCGGCCCCGGTTCTTCAAAGCTCGTACAGTCCCCTATGCACTCGCACCGAAGGTCGAAGAAGAGCTGGATCGCCTACAGAAAGCGGATATTATTGAGCTCGTGCAATATTCGGAATGGGCAGCCCCAATAGTTCCTGTTCTTAAAACCGATGGTTCTGTGCGTATCTGTGGCGACTACAAGCTGACAATCAACTCAGCAACTAAACTGAACCCTTATCCTCTCCCGCGCATCGAGGATCTGTACGCATCTCTCTCGGGTGGTCATCAATTTACAACTTTGGACCTAAAGCATGCCTACAACCAAGTCGTCCTAGATACTGAATCCCGAGACGCCACCACCATCAATACGCATCGGGGTTTATTTCGATATAAAAGACTACCATTTGGAGTAAGTTCGGCTCCCGGGTTATTTCAATGCTTGATTGATAATCTCGTGAAGGATATACCTCACGTTTGCGCATATCTTGACGATATATTAGTTACCGGCCCATCTGAACATAATCATCTAGAGACTCTAAACATCGTGTTAGGACGTTTAGAGGACTCCGGTTTTAATCTCAGGAAAGATAAGTGCACTTTCCTTGCCGACTCAGTAGAATAAATGGGCTTCAGGGTGGATAAAACTGGCCTCCATCCACACGAACATAAGCTCAAAGCCTTGAAGACGGCGCCGCGCTCCAGCAATACTAGTCAGTTGCGTTCATTCCTGGGGTTGGTCACCCACTTTAGTCGCTTTATGAATCAATCGGCTACAATTCTCAAGCCTCTTTATCGACTACTTGAAAAGAATTGCGGCTGGCACTGGTCGGAGGTCGAACAAAGTGCTTTCGAACAGGCAAAGGCGGCTCTTACCTCCTCATCTGTCCTAGTTCACTATGACCCCGAAAAGCCTATCATACTGAAATGTGATGCGTCTCCGTACGGCGTAGGTGCGGTTCTCATGCATCGAATGCCTTCGGGTTCGGAGATGCCGATTGCTTTTGCATCAAGAACCATGTCACAGGCGGAAACCAACTATTCGCAACTAGACAAAGAGGCCTTAGCAATAATGTTTGGCCTACATCGGTTCCACCTGTATCTTTTTGACCAACACTTTGAAATTCACACTGATCACAAACCCCTCTTAGGTTTGCTGGGAGAAAAACGAGGGATACAACAGATGTCCTCGCCAAGAATGCAACGATGGGCACTCAATTTATCTGCTTACACGTATGCAATGAAATACGTTACAGGTAGTGCAAACGTAGTGGCTGACGCCTTGAGTAGGCTTCCTATCGTGGACGATGGCATTGACGGGGCACCTGTTTTTGAGACCGTGAATCTTTTGCAGAATCTAGTCAGCGCGCCTGTAACCTGTCAACAAATTCGACAGTGGACATCGAGAGACCCTCTCCTAAGTCGGGAAAAAGAGCCTTACAATCTGGCTGGCCGTCCTCTACCTCCTCTGATTTTCAACCATTCTTCAGCCGTCAGAACGAGTTAAGTCTACAAGACGGATGCATACTATGGGGCAATCGTGTAGTTGTACCACCACAAGGCCGACGGGCCATCCTCAGAGACCTGCATAATGCTCATCCTGGTACAGTTAGAATGAAAGCTCTCGCCCGCAGCTATGTTTGGTGGCCTAAAATTGACGCAGATATAGAAAACATGGTGAAAGCATGTCACGTCTGTCAAATAACACAGAAGACCTTACCGAAGGTTCCTCTGAAGCCTTGGGCCTGGCCCGACTCGCCGTGGAAGAGGGTACACGTCGATTATTTTGGGCCATTCCAAGGCCATATGGTTTTGGTGGTAGTTGACGCCCACACTAAATGGATTGATGCGATTCCGACAGGCAATTCTTGTTCCTCACTGACTACAATCAACAAGTTGCGAACCGTATTTTCTACTTTTGGGATACCTGAAATGGTCGTTTCAGACAATGGCCCCGCCTTTACTAGTGCAGAATTTAAAGATTTCATGGAGAAAAATGGAATTAGACATTTAACTTCTGCCCCGTACCACGCTGCTTCAAATGGCCTCGCAGAGCGTGCAGTTCAGACAATAAAGCACGGACTAGCCAGACAGACAGAAGCCGACTTGGCCACCAAGTTGTCACGCTTTCTTTTCAGCTATCGCATAACACCAAACGACTCAACTGGTGCTTCGCCTGCAGAATTGATGTTCAAGCGGCAGTTGCGCACACGACTCGACCTGCTTAATCCATCAACGCAGGATAGGGTCATTGCAAAACAGACGAAGATGAAAGAACGATATGATGTGAGCACCCAACCACGAGTCGTCGCGCCCAACGAAAGTGTCTACACGCGACTGGAACACGAAACGAACTGGTGTCCAGCGGTAGTTCGAAAAAGCGAGGGTCAAATAGTGGAATTAGAGTTAGAAGGTGGGAGAATTGTGCGTCGACATCTGGACCAAGTTCGCAGCCGAACGGACACAGTAAGTGGAGAATTCGGAGAGTTAGAACTGCCAGCAACCCTTGATAGGGATCCTGACATCCCGAGGACAGAGCCTCTACTTCCTGCACAGGGCACAGGGACCAGGGGGTGCGGTGGAACGCCAAGGTGAGGATCCGTCCGAGCCATCCACCTGCGGCCTCCCTCGTCTCCGGTCTTCTTGACTCTGTCTTGACACCGGGCCCAGGCGGGGGAGGAGGAGAGAGTGTAGGTAGATGCTACGCAAGTCTACTGGCAGTATAAACCTCTGCGTAAGTCACCGTCCCTGCTCCCACAATGCAGTCTGTGGGGCACACGGTGGACATAGTCGAAACCGACGGTCGAACTGTCGTGTGTGTGTGTGTGTGCCCTCAAAACGGGCCGCGTGTTAGATGCGCTGGACCAACACGGGGGGCACATCGGACTCTGGCAGGCGTTATCTGTGCGCAATAACAAATGCCAACATTTGCGGGGTGCGCTGGCGGACCCTGTTTTTCGGCATTCGTCGCACAACTAGACCACTGCCTCCACCCTATTGTTTTGTGGTCAAAATCCTGGTCTTGGTGTGTGGACCAGGGGTGCGGAGTGGAGCGCCAAGGCGAAGACCCGCCCGAGCCATCCACCTGCGGCCTCCCTCGTCTCCGGTCTTCTTGACTCTGTCTTGACACCGGGCCCAGGCGGGGGAGGAGGAGAGAGTGTAGGTAGATGCTACGCAAGTCTACTGACAGTATAAACCTCTGCGTAAGTCACCGTCCCTGCTCCCACAATGCAGTCTGTGGGGCACACGGTGGTCATCGTCGAAATCGACGGACGAACTGTCGTCGTGTGTGTGTGTGTGTGTGTGTGTGTGTGTGTGTGTGTGTGTGTGTGTGTGTGTGTGTGTGTGGGGTGTAGGGATTTCAGCGGTGGGTCCACGTGATGGTCGTAGTGGTCGCTCACTTGCTTGCAGGTGAGACTACGCCTAGCGTCCATTTGCTGACACCTAACTCTCACATGTGGCTCCACGTAGCTGGGCTCTGCTCAGCGGCCACACCCCGGGCAACCGTCTCGACCGGCGGGCTAAACCAGGTGAGGGTATCCGTGCGTGCACCTTCACGCGCGGTACTGTGGTCTGCGCTGGCCGGATGGATCGTCGCGTCGACATCGTCGAGACGAGGCTCTGCCTGGTCCATCGCAGGAGGCCACCAGGTAAGTTCTTCTTCAGGTATGCGCGTTTGCTTTGTTTCTTCCTTTTGTTTGTTGAAGTTCCGCGTCGTACGCTGCGCTTGCTGCCTGCCCTTTATATGCTAGTCTGTCTGTTAATAACTAAACGACACCCTCGATGCCTGCTGCGATTGTCTGTCCGTCAGTCTATGCCACTCTCTACTAATAGCTAGGTGTTACGGTGCTTGACTTTGTGTGGTGCCCTCACTTTGTCTCTGACTGATGACTGTGTCCGCCTGTCCACTCTAGTTCTAAGTCCCATAGCGTTAGGTAGTGTGTATGCTCTCTCCTACTTCACTCCATCACATCATCACCACCACCAAGGTCCCAGGCCAATTCGGGTCGTTCTCTCACTAACAAAAAGTCGTGGCCCATAGTGGAGTCCGGCAGCCGTCTGGGATAACCGGGCAGCCCTGTTCAGGGATGCGTTGCCTGCCCCCGCGAGGGGGAGGGGGCTAGAAAAGGTGCCCAAAAGATCGCTGGGAACCACGCTGTCTGTAGGCTGGCCGTGGCCGCAGACAAAAAACACACGGTCGAAACGGCCAAAACCGAAACAACAACAACAACAATCACTCTCTTCCTCTTCCAGCCTATTCTTCTTCTTCTTCTCCTACTCCTACTTTTCGTCGCCGCAGTCGCCAGACTGGCAGGGTGAGCCCGCTCACTCTGGCAGCCTGGAATGTTCGTTCCCTTTTAGACAATCCGAGGAGCAACCCACCGGATCGGAGGACGATGCTAGTGGCACGAGAACTGGCGCGCTACAAGGTGGACATCGCCGCACTCAGCGAGACCCGATTCTCCGAACACCGCCGGTTACACCTTCTTCTGGAGTGTTCGACCCAGGGCAGAGCGACGAGACGCGGGTGTCGCCTTCGCCATCCGGACCGACATCGTGGGACGACTGCCCTGTCTGCCGCAGGGAATCAACGACCGCCTAATGAGTCTCCGCCTGCCTCTCCGGCGAGGAGGCAAGTTTGCCGCCATCATCAGCGCCTACGCTCCGCCGATGACCAGCCCCGACGCCGTCAGAGACAAATTCTATGAGGACCTGCACGCCCTCTTGGCAACTGTGTCGAAGGCGGACAAGTTGATTGTCCTTGGCGACTTCAACGCCCGCGTCGGCACAGACCATACTGCCTGGAGGGGAGTGCTGGGTCCTCACGGTCTCCGCGGCTCCAACGACAACGGCCTGCTTCTCCTCCGCACCTGCGCAGAACACCGCCTCACCCTGACGAATACGTTCTTCTGTCTGCCGGAGCGAGAGAAGGCCACCTGGAGGCATCCTCGGTCGCGCCAGTGGCACCTGCTGGACTATGTCCTCGTCCGGAGGCGAGATCAGCGGGACGTGCTGGTGACGAAGGCGATCGCGGGTGCTGACGGGTGGACCGACCATCGCCTCGTCATCTCGAAGATGCGTATTCGCCTACAGCCTCACAGTAGACCACAAGGTAAGCGACCCCCAGGTAAGCTGAATGTTGCTTTATTGTCTTTGCCTGCTCACCGTCTCCATTTCAGCAGTGAGCTAGCTCAACGGCTAGACAACCTTCCTATCGCTGTCGCCGCCGACGACTCCGCCGCTGCCGCCGAGAACGCCTCTGTGGACAACCGCTGGTGTCAACTGCGAGACACGGTCCAGTCGACGGCGCTCGCCGTCCTCGGTCGCGCTCCCCGCCAACACCAGGACTGGTTCGACGACAACAACGCTGCCATCAGAAATCTGCTTGCCGAGAAGAACCGCCTACACAAAGCCTACGTAGATCACCCCACTTAGGCCAACAAAACTGCCTTCTACCGCAGTCGCCGACAGCATCAGCAACGACTGCGCGAGATGCAGGACGCCTGGACTGCTCGCAAAGCTGAGGAGATCCAAGGCTATGCGGACCGCAACGAATGGAAGAACTTCTTCTCCGCGATCAAAGCTGTCTACGGTCCGCCGACGAAGGGCACTGCTCCTCTCCTCAGCGCCGACGGCAGCACTCTCCTGACTGAGAAGACGCAAATCCTACAGCGATGGGCCGAGCACTTCCGAGGCGTCCTCAACCGCCCTTCCGTCATCTCCGACGCCGCCATCGCCCGCTTGCCGCAAGTGGCGAACAACGTGGACCTCGACCTCCCGCCATCTCTCCAGGAAACGATCAGGGCCGTGCAACAGCTCTCCAACGGGAAAGCACTCGGATCGGACGCAATCCCTGCTGAGGTCTACAAGCATGGAGGTCCCCAACTGATGGATCACCTGACTGCGCTCTTCCAGGAGATGTGGCGTCAAAGTGAAGTCCCGCAAGATTTCAAGGACGCAACTATCGTGCACCTATACAAGCGCAAAGGGAATCGCCAAGTCTGCGACAACCACCGCGGCATCTCCCTACTGAACATCGCCGGGAAGATCTTCGCTCGCATCCTGCTCAACC